GCATTGTTACATGATTTATATATTGCCAACCCAACCGTTAGATTATATTCCTAACAGAGACCATGTTAAGTTCAGGGGGTGATTGGAGAAGATGGTCTGGATGAAGGAAAAGGGATGGCAGAGCTGGATGTTTCCCAGGCAGCGAAGAAGAATTGTTGGGATTTACCATTCTTGAGAGATGCATTGGGCCCCCGTTGGGTGGAAAATACAATGTTTTAAAGCAATGCAGACAAAGACTTAACACCAAGAAACCAACAATTAAATCAGTGAGGACTTAATCCTCACTTGAGGAGGCAAAGCTAAAGCTACAGGCTTGCTTTGACTGCACTGACGAATGTGTTCGAAGATTAAGGGACCTCTGCAAACTTGGATGAACTCACTGATACTGTAACATCATATGACAGTTTTTGTGAAGATCTATGTGTGCCGACCAGAAACCTGAGAATATACAGTAACAATAAACCTTGGTTCACAGCTAAACTTAAGCAGCTACGTCATTCCAAAGAGGAAGCCTATAGAAAAGGTGATAGACTGCGGTACAATCAGGCCAGAAAAGTATTAACTGAAAAGCTAAGGAATCCGTTCTCAACAAATGAACCAGCAAACGTGTGGAAAACTCTTAAAAACATCACCGGTTATGGGAAACCTTCTTCCCAAGGTGTAGGAAATCAACAACTGGCAGATGACCTGAATGTGTTGTACTGCAGATTTGAGACAAAACTACTGCTACCCATCTCCACAATGCCTATCCCAGACACACCAATTGATAACTTATTAGTAACCCTGACTATCATTAAGTGTTGTATCTTTTTATTCTTGATGAATGTATTTTTATTCTCTTTATGTCCACTGAGAGTATCTGCGCCAAAGACAAATTTCTTGTGTGTCCAATGACACTTGGCCAAGAAAGATTTCTATTTTATTCTATTCTATAACGGACACGGTGTCTTTAGCTAGTCAGGAGCACCCAGGAAGCAGTGCAGACAGAACGAATGTGCAGGGTGGCGGGAGACCCAAGCATGGCTTGTGTTTTATAGTTCAGCTCTGTTACCATCATTTCCTTTCATGTAGGCCTTCTCTATCGACATTATTCGTCACAAAGATTCTGTGGATGAACTGCTCAGCCAACGAACAGAGATTTTCGGAACTTGTGGAGAGGAGCAGAAAGTCATGCTGCAGGTAGACCTCGGGGCCTAGGAAACGCTGAGGGAGGTTCCTAGGGTACTTTGGAAATCCACGCTTTGGAGGATGGAGGCCCGTTGGCCGCCCCAAACTCTGCCCTTCTTCCACAGGAGAAGACGGAATCTCTTCTGAAGCAGTATGATGCAACCAGCCACCTCCACTCGGAGCGCTATGCTCGCCTGGAACGGGCCCAGGTCCTGGTCAACCAATTCTGGGAGACCTATGAAGAGCTGAGTCCTTGGGTTGAGGAGACCCAAGCATTGATTGGGCAGCTTCCCCCTCCAGCAATTGACCACGAGCACCTCAAGCAGCAGCAGGAAGATATGAGGGTAAGTGGGCATAGGGGGCCTCCGTGCGTCTGCATGCCGTTGGGAAATGCTGAATTGATGCTGCAGGGCTTAGAAAGGGACCCCTGTTAAATTCATTTGAGTGGAACTGTGAGCAGGGAAAGCAGCTGCCACTCCTGGCCTTTGAGCGGTTCCGCTGGGTTTGAAGTGATACCAGGACGCTGAAAAAAGGGGGGCTGGCAAATCAACCTGTGTGGTGATTGAAAGCAGTCACCTGGAGAAACAGGAGGTTACCTGGCCAAATGGTGCCAACTGCGCGGGAGAGAGGGGAGGAAGCCTTCCTTGGCTGATCTCAGCCTTGCTAAGAAGACAGATTTGTTCCTCATTGGGCTCACTGGCTGGGCCTGCTATAGGGTAGACACCTGGGGCTTCGGATTAGCTGGGCAAACGTGGTCTGCACCGACTGAGCCACACCCTGGCAGATTCAGCCAACTGAGACGAAAACAAAGTCTGACTAGTGCAGGGCACAAAGATGGATGTTGTGCTTAAAGAGAGAGAGAGAGAGAGAGAGAGAAGGTGGAGGTCCAATTTCCTTGCTTGGTGTTCACACTAAACCCGCATGCTGGGTTTTCCGCTCTCAACTGAGGTTGCTAAAGTTTTTGAAACTCAAAGGAAATAATTGACTATATCTAGCAATGCTTTATTTTTCAGAGCCAGTAGATGTTTTGGGCTTTAAGTGCTACCACTTTGTTTTATCTCGTGCTCTTGGGGTCATTGCTTGCTTTTTCTATACTTGATTTTTTTTTCTTTATAGCAACTGAGGGAATCCATTGCTGAACACAAGCCCCACATTGACAAGCTGCTGAAAATTGGCCCTCAACTGACGGAACTGAACCCCGAGGAAGGGGCCATGGTGCAGGGGAAGTACTTTGCCGCAGAAGCCACCTACTCCCGCATCAAGGAAGAGGTCCGCCAGCGGGCTCAGGCCCTTGACGAGGCCATCTCCCAGTCAACACAGGTTTGGGAACACATCACTGGCTTTGCAGAGGGGCAAGATCTGATGGGAACAGGGGAGCTCAGAAGAGGAGAGGTAGAATCAGGCGGGTCTCTTTGGGGGAGCCGCACCCTTTGCATTAGGGCTACACTTGTTGAAGATGCTGCTTGCTGTCAGATGAAGCGGCGGGGGGCTGGGTCTTGGCCTTCGGTCGATGGGCCAGGGGGCAGCCCCTCCCCCATCTTCTGCCAGAGTAGGTGCCTAGGGCTGGGGGGACCATTTTGTCACCCTCTGTCAGGCAGCTCTTGCAGCCAAACCGCCCACCGTGCCAAGTAACATCCGTGGTTTGGAAGGCCAATGAGCAGAGAAGGGAGCCGGACCAGAAGGAGGCCAGGGAAACTGCAGGCCATCTGGTTCCAGCAGGAATCTCCTGCCCCAGAAGCGCATCTGGGCTTGGGAAGGGAGTCCTGGCTTCCTCCTTGAGAGTAGGAGCAGCTGGGTGTGGAAGAGCCTTCTTAGGGGACTACAGAGACTCTCTCCGTAGAAGGTGGGATTGGAGGGCTGGAAGGGACCTTCACAGAGGTTTTGGTGGAGACAAATGGAACTTTGACAAAGAAAATCTATTCTGAAGAGAAACAGAGATGGGGTGGGTGTAGATTTTTTTTATCAGATTCATTTAATTTCCTTTTTGGCACCACCATGTTTTGGATATATGCAAAGAATCACATTTGTTGTCCCTTCATGTCAATTTGTTTTGTTGATTGATAATGCGGTTATGTTGGATTTTGTTCTGTGTCACATCTCTGAAAGTCATTCTAGGATATGTATTTTTATATTATTTTAGTCATTTCTGCTCCCTTTAGTTTACCCCCACATTAATGCTGAGTTTTTCCTCCTCCACCCCGTCTCATCACCCTCCCACTGTGGAATGTCTCCCCTGTTGTCTGTTTCGGTGCCCATTTACCGCCTTCCCTGCGTGCTCGCCACCATTCATTGTTGTGTTGACTCCACCATGACAGATTGCAGAGGTAAGGATCCCCTCATCACATGACCAACTTCCTGCCCTCTGAATTAGCTAAGCCAATGTTCATTAGAAGACGTCCTCCTCCAGAATTCCATTCCATCCACTTGAGGGCAGCAGAAATTCTCTCGCCTCCAGGAATAGTCAACCTTCCAGGGTGAATGCTGAGCTCGACTGTGGGAAACTCCCCAGTTGCCTAATTAGCAGTGTCTTCTGCTGCTGCTGCAGATAGTTTGGAGAGAACAGAATCACCTTACTGTCTTTCTCTCTCTCTCTCTCTCTCTCTCTTTCTCTCTCTCTCTCTCTCTCTCTCTCTCTCTCTCTCTCTCTCTCTTTCTCTCACTCACTC